GTCCCACTCTCTGACACCAATTTGTTACATTTCCGTTCGCTAGTTAATTTTCCGTAAATTCGTTCGACGAAACTTTAGCGACACAAGTTCTTTCTTAATAAAACTGGTTTATTCTTTCCGAATACAACTTTACGATACACTTCATTTCAACAGTCGCTCTATAACAAACGTGTCACGAGGGCAACAATATTCTGTCCGCATACATTCAATTACTCATCACCTACACATTGTCCCGTCACGTTGTCACCATCTTATATATACCAGACTACCCTATATCTAGTAAATGCTAGGGCATTCACGAAGGAACAGGATATTTCTAGAAATGTGGCGTGACACTAGTCACGTGATCTCGCTGACGCAACAATATATAGTCCTTTTCTCGCCACTAATGACCTAAAATATATTAAGTGTTTGAATAATACGTGACACGCCGTCACAATTGATTATCCATTATTATTATTAAGCCGCTAACTGGTTGTATATTTTTGTTAATTTCTTTTCTTCACCGAAATGTGAATTTCAGCGAGGAAAAGATGACGTAGAGGCCTAATCTGTTCTTTGATTCGCTACTCCTGTTGCAACTAGTTTCGCTAGTTCATAGCTCATCAGTACTGCTTGGAAGAGTAAAGCAAGTAATTAAAGTAGGCCTAATATATTAGAGGAATGTAAGTAGTTTGTTTGGTGCAGCGGAGGTAGTGAATCAAGGAAGAGATGAGGTTTCTACACCATTTTGTTGAGAGGAAATTATCCAAAAAAAAAGTATATATACAATTTTACTAGGTATTTCTTGATTTTAGAATTGCTAAGAAGTTTACACTGGGAATGTAAACGAACTAATACAATTAATATTAAAACTATAACAAATATAACAGATTTGAAACTTTCCGAAGTGTTGTTGTTATACATGTTTTATCCTGAGATCATTTGCTTGGGTTTGCTTCGTCAGAGACGTTGCGCCAAACCTTTGTTGGTTCGTGAGAGTTTGCCGAAATGTTTGGAAGATTATACTTTAAGGATTTGTTACCTGAAGAAAACGTCCACGTTGCAGTTACTTAATGTGTTTGTTATTTCCGTTAGAGAACATTCATATCCGGGACTTTTTATTCCCCAATATCACGAACGAAGGAGAGCAAATTCAAGTGACATGCGGACTAACGAGAAATGTTGAAGAAGTGGAATTTTCATGGGTGAAAGACGGGATGCCTCTGCTACCAGACAGCCACCGAGATATTATCAACCTGAAAACGTTTACAGTTCTTGTAATTAAGGCAGCAATTCCAGAAGATTCAGGAAATTACACCTGCATGGCCACAACTTCCACGTCCAAACAACAATTCACGGCGATGCTCTTGGTTCAAGGTACTCGAAACGTTAAATCTTATGACAGATATTTCTGCTCTCACTGTTATTACTCCGTAATAATCTGAAATACGTGCATAACTAAGAATTCATAAACTAATAACAAATGAAAGCAAATGTAAGTTATTACAGATTCTTTGAAAGTATGATAATAAAACCAGGAGCAACAAGGTATAGAGACTTTTTTATGGTGCAGTACGATTTTATTTCATATTTTGTCATAGGGTTTTAGTCAAAAACTTCTCTTAAATCTTTAGGGCCACCGAAATGGCAACAGCGCCCTCTAGATAAAGTAGTCAGCGCAAAAAATAGTGTGACGTTCTTTTGCAGTGCTTATGGATATCCTCAGCCAAAAGTCCTATGGAGAAAAGCTGGTAAGGATTTTTTTTTTAGTTTATTGTGACAATTTACTTGTTACAGATCAATAAAAAAAATACCAATGAAAATATTTACATAAAGTTGACATTATTAAAAGAGCTGTTACTAAATGTTATAACCATATGCAGTAAACTCAGTCTGAAGGATAACTTTGTTTCTCGTAGAGTCAAGTTATTTGGATAACTTAGCTACAACCATGTTTCAGTTCCAGGGCTGCTCAATAGATTTGAAGACTGGACCATCCAAACTCAGTAGCATTACTGAGTCCAGCCATTCAGAAAATGGACCAGGTCCTTGTTTGCTACATCCATAAATGTCAGGAGAGAAATAGCATAAATCTCTTGCAAATGGACTATTGGCCAAAACCAAACTGAGAAACCCTAAATATCAGGGTATGATGGAGTGGGTGTATTCATAGACCCCTAGACTCTGGACAAGCATCATGTTCCTACTTTTTGTTTGGCATAATAATAACTTATAGGTATCTCGCCCATTGGCTCTGCGTGATCCCAGGCTTATTCCTGATTCTTAGTCATCCTTGTAATAAACCTCACATAAAGACTCACAACTGTTCCATTGGTCATCATATTCAACAGTTGGTGCCTGTTGTCTCACCTTCTGGCAAGAGAGCTCAGGCTGGCACATCCAGTTGTGGCTGGTTTTGGGAGTCACCAACCAGAGCCAGGGTTAGGTTACTATGGTTGGCAAATGCCTGTGAATCCTGTAGAGACCTCCACATTCAGTTTCAAACTCAGTAGGCTGCCCACTACTATAACGATACTGAATCATCTATGTCTTCTGCACATTGAGGTTTGTCCTTGGAGAGATCCCAAACAGCAGATCTAGGTACACCAAATTCTAACTGTTCTCCCTCTCGAGTCTTTGGTCACAATAAAAAATAATTCATGGGCCTTTGTAGCATCATTGAAAGTTTGATGTCCAGGAGAGGACTGCTCTGAAACCTTACAAATCTCTGACAGCCATCTATCCACAGCAGATAACTCTTCCTCCTGAGCAGCAGTTCTTTGACTCGTGGAAAATGTAATTTCCAATAACACAGAAGTTCATAGTAGAAGAGGTAAATATATTTGTCAAGATAAAAACAGAAAACTCCTCAAAAACAAAGCCTGTAGTAATGCACAAACATTTTCCCTTCCTATATATATCTGTGGTATTCTCAGGTGCTCTGATTTCCCTTAGAATAATTGAGTTAGAGCTGCAAAAACAAGCTATTTTGATAGAAAATGTATCATAAAGTAAATCTGAATTATCTGACCTTGACTGTGTTCTAAGAAAAGAAAGATTTGACACAGTGAAATAGTCTTTATTTCATTCAAACACAATCAGAGTCAAGATAAGTGTGTTTTATAGTGCCTTTAGTGGAGAGAGCTATCAGTGAAGCAGAAGTATGTTTCTCTGAAGAATCTCTGATTACGCGACTCTTAGTCATTCCCATTGAAAACATAAGGTTTGTTGTATCCTCAAGGTATCACCTGACCTACCAGTGGAAAAGATCGTTATTCACTTCTACATAGAATGTTTCATTTTACAGAAATCTTTCCCACCAGCAATTTCGTGTGATATTGTAGCAAGTGACCTAGTTCAGTAGGTAACTATGGCAAAAATAACTTAGTTACTTCTGTGATCAGCATTCTATATCAACATTTCATAATCCATATTTATACAATTGTTGAAAATATTTAATATTATTTAATATATTTTTTATAAGGAGCTTATACTTATAATACCGAATAACGTTATTAGTTATAATTCGTTAATAAGATCTGTAGTTATGAAAGAGTTCAGTCTGTTCATTCTTTGAATGATAGATGAGAAATCCAACAACAAACGTTGGACAGTGAGCGTTGATGGATCACTGACTATTGAGGAGACGACCAAAGATGATGGTGGACGATATGCTTGTAATGCTTCCAATGGAATCGATCCAGATTTAATCCAAACAGTTCTGCTCACAGTCTTAGGTATGGACTGAGCAGTACAGACTTTTATGTATAGTTTAATGTCTTTGAAGAGTTTAAAAGTGGAGTCAATGATTTATTGATTAATATACGTTAGTTATTACAGATGAAGTAAGCCTTCTTTGCTCCATAGGTTGTATATTTACCATGCTTTATTTATTGATTAATATATGTTAGTTGTTACAGATGAAGTAAGCCTTCTTTGCTCTATAGGTTGGTATATTTACCATGCTTTATTTATTGATTAATATATGTTAGTTGTTACGGATGAAGTAAGCCTTCTTTGCTCTATAGGTTGGTATATTTACCATGCTTTATTTCTCAAACCACTAGACCATTATTTTATGGAATGGGTGTGGGGAGTGGAGGAGTTAGTTTCAGTATCCCAAGGGGATCGACTTTAATTTTGTCGGCATCTTTTGTAAAGCTTATATTGGTAAAGACGTAACTTAACCCTGACACAATTAGAAAGAAGAACTGTTCCCCTCGTGTTGCCTCACCAGTTCAGTTCCTCATATAGATATCTCCTCAGATCTTCGTCTTCGATACATCTCATGGTAAGAACCTTAATTTCAACTAAGTATTTTATATCACTAAATTATAAGATGCAACTTTTGTGGCTATTAAATTCATCAGATTAGTTTATCCAACTAGCAAGTCTGCTAGAACACTTAAAATATAAGTTCAATTCTAACTGTGACATTTGTTTTTGTTTTCTCTCTTGCACCTTAAACTATTATACGCAGAAAAAAATAATTCTTTCTCTCTCTAGCCCTTCAGTGGAACAGCGGCAAGTATGAAGGCTTATAACGCTGAAAATTGGGTTTTGATACCTATGGTATCAAGTGTAGATTGAACTGGACCTCCCTTGAAGTTAGACTTCGAAATTAAACAGTTTATGTATTACACCTAAGGTGATAGTTTATACACAATTGAATATTGTAACCTAACTCTTTCCCTCTCTGGTAGATGTGAGTAAATAACGACTTGACTCGATCTTCTGAAACCCTCATCTGCTAAACCTACTGCAAAATTTGTAACTATACTTGATAAAATATTTCTGCTCTTATATTTAAAGTGTGATTATTAAAATAATTTATTTTTAATTTTTGATATTAAGGATCTCGATTCGAAAACTGCGGATCGCGGGTTCCAAACCTCTCATCAACTATGCTCTCCCTCTAAGCCATGGGAGCGTTATAATGTGACAGTCAATCTCACTGTTCATTGGTAAAGAGAACAGTAAGACTTCACGCTAGGTGGTGTCGACTAACTGCCTTCCTTTTAGTCTATCACTTCTAAATTAGGAGTGACTACCGCAGAAAGCACGAATTTCAATAAACAGACCTAATAAATTAACGAAATGTTAACAGCTGTCGTCAGATATGTTTAGTATAATGTATATCTTAATTCCAGCTTAAACAACGACCCAATCTAACGATTTCTAAGCTCGATTTTTCTTACGATGCACTTGACCTTTAGCTACGTAGAAACAGAAACCCAAAACGTGCGTTTTTACTGACCAGGTCAAGCGAAATTTTAGGTTCAGAATCTCGTTTGCAATCTATTTTCTCAGGTTGACTTTTACCAGATCCGGCCTTTGGAAGATTGAGAAAAATTGGCATACTGTTCTCAATAACGAACGAGTTTGGAAGATTCAAAGTAAAATCGACGATTCTTTGCATGAAGACGATTTTTTTTTATGATTTCAGGTAACTTGATTACTTTCACACTTGTGTTTGTTACCAACAGTGTGAAACGTTCTGTTTCCAATCATTATAATTTAAGAAATTATTTCAACATGAAAATAGGGTAGAAGAACAGGACAAGTACTGACTACCAATTACATTAAAATATCTAGCCCTCAAGCGGTCGATCTTTCTAATTTGTAGTACATTAAAATAACACTGTGTGGCGCTTAAGATACACTAGATGACAACAGAGTGCTGTAGAAAAATTTCCTTACCGCACGGCGCCATATATGGGCGAGATTTCATGTTTGGAATAGAAGGACGAAACACGAATTGATTGAAGAATTATTGTGTTTTCAATTGGACTACCAATCAAAGTAAACAAGAAACTTATCTTTATTGGATAATATCATCATTAGTTCAGGAATTTAACGTTGGTTGGACACCTTTGGAAGTTTACAGTGAAGGATTTGTTTGGCTTGTAGCGGGATTCTACTGCAGTTTGGATAAGTCTACTATGGCGACTGTGTCTTTCATTCCTCACCGGATACCATGGATTTTAATAGTGTTTTTGATTGGTGTATTGTGTGAAGGTGAGTCATTCATATTTTTAAAGAATATTTATTTCTTACGTCGTTATGTTTATAGTACAATTAATTATTTTGAATATTTTCATACTATCGGACATAAATAACCAGACAAAAACTATCAGCACTAATATGATATGAATTTTTCTAACTTGGAATCCGGTAATTAAACGAATAAAATTTTGGTTTTGGTTTATTCAGCATACGAACCAGTGAATTAAATTTTGTATAGTGTTACTAAAATATACGGGTTTTAAACAGAAAAAAAATGTTTATAAATTTATATTTTCAGGTTTAAAAATTAAACCGTTCCACTTCTCACCTGATGCACGAGTAGGTGAAGATCTTCAGGTGCTCTGTAGCACAGTGGGTGTTAAGAATGGTGTTAAATTTACTTGGTTTAAAGACTCTTCTATAATTCAAACTGAAAAACAGTGGACCGTTTTAGACCACGGGACTTTCTCCGTGTTAGTGGTCAAGAGTCCTTCTGTAGAATCATCTGGAAATTACACTTGTGTGGCTCGGGCATCTAATGGAGAGGATACGTACACCGCTCAGCTCCTTGTGAGAGGTTAGGTTTACATTCACGTTATTAAGCTAGCTTATCTAATGAGGATATGTTAAGGAAAAAGTTGTTAGATTTTAGAGATTTTATACCCAATAAAATGTTGAATAATTTTACAGTTGTTGTTTTGGTGAGGGCATTAACTGTAGAAACAGCAGGAACAAGTTATAGATAATGACACCTAAACGAAAACTTTTTATAGTTATGTTTTCTGCGACGTTTCGAACAGACAGTTTTTTTGTTTTTTTTCTTTCACGCCCTACGGAACAACATTCATTCAGGAATAATTATAGACCTATATTTCTTTTCGTGTTTAGGAAATTTTTTTGGACAATCTCTTTAATCAGAAAATCATTGTTGACTCGAAATATTAAGAAAAAATAACCTTAATTAGTTATAGTAGTTTTCTCTTTTCCCGGTAGGGCTCGAATTTATCAAAAACAAAACAAAACAGACACACGGTTTAAGAAACAACTGTAGTCCATGTTGATCTCTGCTTAACGTTCAAGTTACTTTAATTGGTCCTAAACTTTCAAGTCTGACAATATTCGATGTTAAGCCTAGTTTTAAAGTAGAATGATCCTTCATTCGAACGAAGCGCCATCTAATAGATAAGCCTAAATCTCTTGCTGCTATATATATACTAAGTGACTGTGACAATAGTTTTTGCGGGCAACAATTTAAAAATCATTGGTTTGGGCGAAGTGGTTAGGGTTAAGTACAGCATCTTGATCGAGTAATAAAGATCGCGTCGATTTTTATTGTATTCACAACTGGAAATCGTAATTATTACAAAAATGTAAATCCCTCTAAATCAGAGAAATGCCTGTTTTTAGAATTTAGAAAATTAATTCAGGAATTTGTTATAAAAATTCTTAATTTCTACATTACTTATTCTTTCTGCAATGTCCATCTGCCATTTTTTCCTCAGTTTCCACAGTCTTTCCTTAGCCTAACGATATAAACTTCTAATTCACATGTGTGTATTTAAAGGACTTAGACGTAGCCTAACGGTTAGCACAGTTTGTTTGGAATTAAGCACAAAGCTATACAATGGGCTATCTGTGCTCTGCCCACCACGGGTATCGGGAGTGAACATAGAGAAATGGGGATGTATAAAATAAAACAATTCGGAACATTGGATAGTTTGTTTTTGAATTTCGCGCAAAGCTACACGAGGGCTATCTGCGCTAGCCGTTCCTAATTTAGCAGTGTAAGACTAGAGGGAAGGCAGCTAGTCATCACCACCCACCGCCAACTCTTTTACCAACTAATAGTGGGATTGACAGTCACACTATAACGCCCCCACGTGCTAACCTGCTCCTCAGTGGCACAGCGGTATGTCACCGGACGTACAACGCTAGAAACCGGGTTTTTGGCGGTTGTATATGATACTTAAAAGAACGCCACTCAATCAATTTTGGAAACAATATTTTAAAAAGTAAATTTTTATAGTATAATGGTCTCCTTATATTCCTGCTTTAAATGACTGATTAGCTTGCAAATGTGATATATTAAGGACTACAGAGACTTTTGGAAAAATAATGTCAATGTTTTTTTTTGATACCGTTATGTTTCAGGGTCTCCAAAGTGGAGGTACGAGCCTCGTGATATTTTAGTGAGTTTGGGAGAAGATAGTATATTGTACTGTAGCGCTTGGGGTTACCCTCAACCAATCGTTCAGTGGAAGCGACCTCTAGGTTTGTACTTTCCTTTGTTCTCAAAATATGACTTTGTTTTAAACAACTCCACAAAAACAGGTAATTGGTTGTATTTGAGTCGTATTTTTTTTCAGAAAACGATTTTACTTATAAACGATGTATTTTATAGCGAATCATTTTCGAACAGTTTTATCACATGCTTCTTTCAAAACTATGAATATGATTGAATGTTCATCAAAATTTCCAGATGTTTTACACGAACATTTTCTTGATCAGTGCAACTTTTCGCTAAAGTCAAAGAAAACAGTTTTGTAATTGTTCTCTCTTCGGGTGGTTTTACGTCGTGTTCAACATGAGGAGTGAGTTTTCTATGGACTTCTCTAGCCGTTTCTCTTAATTTGGAGACGACGACGTTTCGGTCTCCATAATCTTGATGAAGAGTTCAGCGTGTAGCTCGAAAAGTCATCTCAAAATCAAGAGGAGGTCCACAATTTTCTTGATTTGGAGACGACGTTTCGGGCTTCGTAATTATGATGAAGGACTCGGCGTGATATGGAGCACGAAACGTCGCCTCCAGATCAAGAGGTGGCCCACATGGCCAGGTGGTTAGGGCGTTTGACTCGCAATCTGAGGGTCGCGGGTTCGAATCCCCGTCTCACCAAACATGCTCGTCCTTTCAGCCGTGGAGGCGTTATAATATGACGGTCAATCTCACTGTTCGTTGGTGAAAGAGTAGCCCAAGATTTGGCGGTGGGTGGTGATGATTAGCTGCCTTCCCTCTAGTCTTTCACTGCTAAATTAGGGTCGACTAGCGCAGATAGCTCTCGTGTAGCTTTGCGCGAAATTCAGACCAAACCAAATCAAGAGAAGGCTGTAGGAAACTCATTCAGAATATGTTCTTGTAACCTGCACGTTTCGTTGAAACGGTTTATTGTCTCCGTTTTACGTTAAATCCTTTCTGTAAGTGATAAAGAAAGCGGATGTACTTTGGGATGTAATGAAATATACCTTGTATACGTTTTCTGTTTTCTGAAGGTACTGGGATGACACCAGTCGTGGAAGACGCAAGAATCAGCAAACTTGAAGATGGTTCTTTACGAATTTTAGATGTTACACAAAACGACAGGGGTTCCTATATGTGCGAAGTTTCAAACGGGATTGGTGGCAGTCTTAAGAAAACTGTACAGCTATCAGTGAAGGGTATCTTATCTTATCGTTAACTTTGAACACCTTTGGCTGATGACTTAATCAGATCCAATATCAGAAGCCCACTTTCTTTGTTCTTCACCTTTGTAAAAAAACGGGATTGGCAGCAGTCTTAAGAAAACTGTACAGCTATCAGTGAAGGGTATCTTATCTTATCGTTAACTTTGAACACCTTTGGCTGATGACTTAATCAGATCCAATATCAGAAGCCCACTTTCTTTGTTCTTCACCTTTGTAAAAAAATTTTTAGATGGGATTTTATTACCAGATCCCATATCAGAAGCACATTTTTTTGTTGTTATTTACCTGTGTGGTTGAGAAAATATTCATATTTTATCCTAACTTTTATCTAATTGATTTCAATACAGAATATTCTTGCTTGCTTCTTTTCGTTTGGAGTTGTCTTCGGGCTGGTCAGAAAAATCGTCGGTTTGATTAACCGCAGTGGGCAGAGTACCAATAGCCCAGTGCGTAGCCTTGCCCCAAGAAAACAACATCAGAAACCCATTTGGAGTTCTGTACTGATGTCTGTTGTGACGAGCCCCTAAACTATAGAGTATATAAACGTCGATTTTAGAAAGAGAAAGGACGAAGTCAAGGTTAAAGGTTAAACCTGTTATCATATAACAAAGAATTCTTCTTCTTACTGACGTAGGGCAAAATTTAATCGCTTCTTTCAGGAGAAAGCTTTGGACTTTTGTAACTTCAAATCAAAAGGGAGGTAAAAATGAGCAGTGAACACTTTTTATCGCATGTCCAAATTTACTCGTTACAGTTTGTCGCATTATATTCTCGTGAGCATCAAGTTCTATTGTGTCTACACATGCGTAGTGCTTTGTATCCTGTTACCAAGGTGACCACTTCGTGTGTTATCCGGTAAGGAAAGGGTATGTTTTGATTAAATCTAAAGACTGACCAATATATATATATATATACTAATATTATCAACATTAACCTTTAAGTTGTTTGTACAGTTGTGATGAGCCGGGCGTGGCCTTGTGGTTATCGTGTTGAATTACTAATATTATCAACATTAACCTTTAAGTTGTTTGTACAGTTGTGATGAGCCGGGCGTGGCCTTGTGGTTATCGTGTTGAATTACTAATATTATCAACATTAACCTTTAAGTTGTTTGTACAGTTGTGATGAGCCGGGCGTG